ACGAGTATAAACTATGTTAACGCCGGTCAACACGTTACAGCAAAGGTTAAAGCCAGTCAACGCGTTACAGTAAAAGTCGAGGCCGATCAACGCATTGACGATTTCGCCAAAATAAGGCTAAGGAAAAATTCTGTATTAAAGGATGATTCTAAGGAGTTCAATTGCGATTCAGATATGAATTCCCGATGAACAGTTCAAAGTCAACTCAATGACACGAGCCAAAACCAACTCACCAATTTCGATTCAAGATTTCGACAACGGTCAGACGATAAACGCAGCGCCGGAAGAACTTCATCTATTCAATAAAATACTAAGTAGATTGAAGACTGAAGAAGTCAAGAATTGAAGCCATTCACAGGTCCTTCTACGCGATCTCCTCAACAAAATACTGAAGAGATTGAAAACAAGGTTTGTCTTATCCAAAGCATTCTAGACTCTTCTATAAAAGAATGAGTCTGAAATACTTTGGAGGGGGTATCTGTAGGTGTCTAAAAATGCATATAGGTGTCCGCACATAGCTCGAGACGGAGAGAAGATGACGAACATTGTTATCAGAGTCTAAGAGGATTATCTAACGCTGACAAGTACGTGAATCGAAATGACGAACAAACTGTGTCTCATGCGCTCACCGGCCACCTCCAATTAGCCGTCACACCTATTGGTCAGCTCACGCGTGTTAGTCAGCTCCAAGTGACTGAACACGCTCGTCAATCAGCTTGTGCTTGTCGGTCAGCTCCAAGTGCTCGCGCGCTTGTCGGTCAGCAGCTCCAATTTCCATAAAGAAGCTAACGAGTGCATTAGCAAAGTGTATAAGTCAACACGATGACGAAATACACTAAACGGCGAAAAATACAAGTTCGGGAAAGTCGGGAAACACTAAAAAGCTCAAAAAAAGCTTGGAGATCGCATGGCGCACAAGTCACCCAAGAGTGACCCGCGGCCGCGCGGGTCACTACGTGGTGACCCACGGCCACGCAGGTCACCATGACCCGCGGTCGCGCGGGTCACCATGGTCTGTCTCGTGCCCAGAACTACTTGTAACCTCCAAAATGCGTTTTCAAGCTGTTTCGATCGGTTTCTTCTGTTCTAGAGGTTCCTATCTGTCTAGATATCATCTACAAATATGGTTAGGCCATTATTGACTAAAGATAAAGCCAAATCACTCATTCTTATCCAAATACCCCCAGCCGAAGCCTATAAATACAGGCCTAGGGGCTCATTTCACAAGGGCGAATTGATCAAGAGGACGATGTTCTACTGGATTGAGGAGTCGAAGGAGCATGAATTTATAGCGAAGGCAAGTCAGATCCTAGCGAACTTTAGCATAAAGAGGAAGGCTTTCGAAGGATCTGAACTCGTATTTCCCCCCGTCCATTCCTTGAGATTAGGCTTGGTCTTAATCTCGAGAAGAGCTACTGATTTTTCTTGGTCGATTTCAGTGAATACTTCCTTGGTGAAGTAGGAGCTTTGTTAATTTTCTGACAATCGGATCTGATCCGCGACGGTCCATGGATATCAACGTCCCCGGCACAGACAAAGATCCCACGCAAACAACAGGCGATAAACATCTATTGTGTGTTATTTGAGAAAGTTATAATTTTTATTTAATTGTGTAAGGAGATCTTATAAAAAGATCAACTTTTTATTCGAGTTTATTGTAACGATTAAAGTTGTAATAGATTCAAGGCAATGAAATCAACCTTTGACCCAAAAATAGGAATTCAGAATTATGTCCTCGTATTTCCATTAAGGATGAGCCTCAGGATTCACCTAGCATGCATATTAATTAATAAGACATTAGTAAAAACTTTAGTCATGCATCAAAATATTAGCCCTATTAAATATTGTTCACTGATAGAAAAAAATATTCTAAAAACAAAATTCTGAAATCATCTTCTAGAATTTATTAACATATATAAATAAATAAATTTCTAATCAACCTAAATTTAACAACAAATTTCATGCTAAATAACATTAACCAATTTTTATCAACAACAATTAGAAACTTCCATAAAGTTTGAATTTTACCATAACTAAACCCTAAGTACGCATACAAGATCAAACCAACAAAATAGACAGTTTTAGTATTGAAAAGGAATGTTCCTAATTTCAAAACCATTCAAAGATTAGGAAACAATTATCAATTTTCCCACAATCAAAGAAAAATTTAGGGTTCTAATAAGTGATTACATACCTTGATCTTGGTAGAACTCTCCGTGGCTAAGAAAGAGACTCTGATTTCTCTTGATGCTTCAAACTCTGATTTCCCTCAGGGAGCGGAGAAAAAAAAGTAATTTCTATTGATGCTTCGATAGTGTCCGAAGGAAAAACTTCTGCGGAATCGAATGGAACTAGGGTTTTGTTTTAGAAAAAAGAAAGGGGGAAATCACGCGGTAGAGCTCGCGGTGGAGAATCGTCACATCGTTGGATGAGATTCTGACGGCGGATATTTGGTCAGCGGCGATCTCACTTAGAGATCGGTAACTCGACTTCTTCCTTCTCTCTCTGATTTCTTGTCTTTTTTTTTTCTTTTTGTGTGGTGGAACAAAGGTGGTGATCCCCTTGGCTGAATTTTTTTCTTTCGTTGCGTTTAGTTAGATGTTTAGGATATAAAGCAGGTAAAAAGATAATTTTGAAAGACTAAAATACCCTTTTATTATGTTAGCTCATTTGTTATTTTTGTTAATTTAAAAATTAAAAAAAACTATTTTTGTAGCACCAAAGCAAACCTCATTTAAATACACTGCAATAAGTATATTCGTGCCCGAGAGCATACATTACGGAACAGTCTAAGTAGTTAATTTTGGTCAATGCAAGGAAACAAGAATTTATAATAGTTAATAACCATGAGAAAATAAATTACTATTTCATCCTTACTATTGAATATTGATTACTATTAACTGTCTACTATTATTATTTTCAAGTAACAAAATCATGCCAGCTGATTCAATTCAAATTATAGCATGATTACTCTAATTTCTATTTGTTGAATGATCTCCCTCAAAGTTCTTTATAAATAAAGGGGAAGACTACCTCAAAGTGTTTAATTAATTTAATTCAATAGCATGCTTATTTTCTCTAAGTTGCACTGTTCTTCTCTCTGAATTCCAAGGTAAATTCCTTAGATTTTCTATTGAATTGTGTTTTAGATGTGAAAATGCTTTTAAGGGTAATTTATTTTTTCTTGAGAACAAATTGTTAGAGCAAGCTCTTTTATTCGTTGTTTAATTGAACTTTGGATTGTGTTAGGTTCATTGTTAAACCAATGAGTTGAAGAATTATCTCATTCGTTGTTTAATTGAACTTTGGATTGTGTTAGGTTCATTGTTAAACCAATGAGTTGAAGAATTATCTCCATATGTTTCTTGTCAAGGAAAAGGGTTCATTGTTAAACCAATGAGTTGAAGAATTATCTCCATATGTTTCTTGTCAAGGAAAAGAAAAAAAAAAGCCCAGAATTTTCATCAATACTATGTCACATTTTCTATATTAAGAAAAATCACATATTTCTCGAGTATTTGAAGTTTGAAGACTCTTAGTCTTGTTCTTCAATCAATCAACAAGTTTCCTTATATTGTCTCAAATGTTAGTGTGATCTCATCTAGAAAGTACTACTTATAACAGAGCTACTATATTTAATCAATTGGTTTCTTGATGATGCTTATACTAGTACATCACCCTTTGCTTATCCGCACAAGTATTTCCTTTCCTTAATAGATGTTAATTTTGCCATCCCCGTATTGATCAGGTCGAAATGGGTCGGATGAAAGTTGAACTAAATCTGATAAGAAAACCACAGCTAAAGAAACAGTATAGGCGCCTGGTGATAGAAGAAGGTAAGATCACTGGCTAGGAATTTGATTTGAGGATGTAAGATTAGAATTGATTTAGGGATTGAACCTAATAGATTGAATTTATATCTCCGATACCATGTTAAGTTGGTATTGAAGAGAACTTGCAATTTTATGATCAGATTTTCATGGTATACAAACACAAACAGTAGCCCACACAAGGAGCACACTATGAGGCGACTGAGGCGCCTATACATATATAGGATGGCTGGCGGCTCATGATGTTATCTAGCAATTGAGTTGTCGCTGAAGTTGCTTTTTCTCTTTGGTTGTTTTAGACTTCATTAATAAGCTGGCCTATATTTATGGAATGCTTAAATTTGGTGATACCATCAACTTAGATAGGCTCTTGCTTGAGACAATACTTGATTCTATAAGTAATATCGAATCATTAAAAAGGAGTTACACTGTCGATCGAGATTATGATAGAATCATCTCTCAATCACGTGTATTTCCTTCACGTTAGAAGGTCCTCATTTTTTATTGCATTAACTCATTCATTAATTGGTATGGATAAAAAGCCTAAGAAATTCAAAACTATTATTAAATAAATATGAAGATAGAAGCACTAGGTATACGTAGTTCATGCTAATTTGTATTGACAGCTGGTGTCAACTTTTGGGTTCATCTTGTTAAGTTTTTATAGATTGATCGATCCGTCATAATTGTCTCCATAATTTTGTGGATCAACTGTCAACCTAATAAAAGTTCTGCACTCAAATATCTGCGCATTCTATATACGGAGATTAACATAATTAAATGGTTTGGCATGCAGTTTGTCTATTAATGGTCCACAGTGAGGAGAGGCCATTTAAGTCATAGCTTGAATATGAAGGGTAATAACAAATTTTCTATCCTCATTCATATATAGATATATTCCTTGATATTTTTTCTCTCTTACTAATACATATGGGTTCCTTGTCAGTTACTCATTACCCCTTTAATCATCGATCACATGGAGCTCAAATTTGCATGCAGTGAATTAACCCATTCATATCACCTTTGCATGTGAACACTGTGGTTAGATGCTTATTATATATTTGATATTTGGGACTTAATTAGCTAGCTTGTTTTTGTGCTTCATGTCGCAATAGTTGTAGTGATATTCAAGAAAAAAAGAGGGGAAAAAAACCCGTAAGCCTAATTAAATCGTTCTCGCACGTTTCTCTCAATTCTCTTCAACATGGCGACATCCTTTCACTCTGGCTTTCTCATCCTCGTCCTTGCTATCTTCTTTCTTGTCCAAACGACCACCACCAGCTCAACCGCGACGTCAACATCCATGCATTCAGGGGGTTTGGAGGTAAAATTTCCATTGAATTTAGTAGGTTTGTGGCTTTCGATTTTATTGTGGATGTATAAAAAAGCTAAATGTTAAAACATAAGCAAGGACACATTTTTTAGCGTAAGGTTCATTTTTCACAATCTAATTAGTTTCTGATATGCCTGTTAAATATATGAATTCAGGCTCTGCGTAAGGTTCATTTTTCACAATCTAATTAGTTTCTGATATGCCTGTTAAATATATGAATTCAGGCTCTTTTGGTGACTGATTTTTTTCTCCAATATCATTTAAAATATATATATAAAGGAAATGTTATTTAAGAACTTAAGAACTGCTAAAATTTTTAGTAGAACATCAGTTGGAGGCAATTTTTAGTAGATGCCTGTTAAATATATGAATTCATTTTTCACAATCTTTTTTATATAGAGTAGTACAAATACCTTATTAGTGTTCTTTTTTTTTTCAATTTTAATTGTAGTCATACTTTTTTTTGGAACTAAGCAGGTTCCATTTTTTAGTACCTCGAAAGACTTCTTAATAGATTTTTATAGATACCTTTTTAGTGTGTTTTTTTCAATTTTAAGGGTAGTTGTATTTTCTTTTCGGAATTAATTTGGTTTTCTTAGATAGTATTTTTGCCCAATGTAAGAAATGCTAAGCAACTTGTATTAATTAAAGAGACCGGTCGGGTTTAGGGCAGTGCGTTTTTTTTTTAGGCTAAACATCGACCGTAAACCGTCTTAAAATTATCACGTAACCCTCAATGGCTTTTAAACTATTAGAAAACTCTGTTTAACTGTAAGATTTTATCAATAAGCCCACTTCAACTTTGAAATTTTATGAGAAACTCATTCGAAAGATATCTCTTTTAAAGTGGTTTTATGACAAAATTCAATGTTAATGAGGGTTTTCTGATGACCCCTAAACTAAGGGAGGATTCTATGATATTTTCAAATTTATGCAGGGTTATCCAATAATTGTACATAGTAAATGTGGGGTTTTCTGATATTTAGCCTTTTTTTTTTGCCCGTTACTCTCTTTGGGCCTGCTCGGCCACTGTTTCAATTTTTATTTTTTAAACAGAAAGTCAAAAACGTTTCGGTGAACAAGAAGTAGGGCCATCAGACATAAAGTATATTTGTGGGGGGCTTTTCATGGGCCGGATCGTGAAATTTAACATGGGTTACTGGACTTTAATTTTAATCTTTTTCTTTATTTTTCATGGGCCGGCCTATAGAGCTTCTAGTGTTTATTAATTTTCACTCGAGAACGTCATTGTCTTTTGCTATACTTTGACCCGAATGTTCCACGCAGACGTTGATTGTTGCTCAAGATGGGAGCGGGAATTTCACGAAGATTGGGGACGCAATATCGTTCGCTCCAAACAATAGCAATTACCGAACAATCATAAAAGTCAAAGCAGGAATATATTATGAATATTTGGAGATCCCCGAGAACAAACCAAACCTCATGCTGTATGGAGAAGGGAGTAATGTTACAGAAATCAGAGGGAACAGAAGTGTCGGTGATGGCTGCAAAACTTTGTATTCTGCAACTGTTGGTTAGTAACCTTTTCAATTGCGCAGAAAATATATCGTAGTCACTAGATATTATAATTTCTGCAGTTTTTCATTAGGATTAACTTTGTGGTCTGACCATACCTCCATTAATTCCAGCTGTCTTAGGCCAAGGCTTTATAGCCCGAGACATCTCTTTTATCAACACGGCTGGCGCATCTAAGAACCAGGCCGTGGCACTGCGGGTCGATGCCGATATGGCCGCGTTCTACCGATGTGCGATCGACGGGTACCAAGATACTCTTTACGCACGCCTTGGTCACCAGTTCTACCGTGAGTGTGACATCTCCGGCACCGTCGACTTCATCTTCGGTGACGCAACAGCCGTCTTTCAGATGTGCAACATCTACGTCAAGTTACCGGCATCAGGACAGTCTAATACCATCACAGCACAAGGTCGTAAAGATGAAGACGATATCAGAGGCTTTTCTCTTCAAAACTGTTCCATTCTACCATCACAGGAGCTCGCTGCTAGTAACGTATCAGTCAAGACGTTCTTGGGTCGACCGTGGAAGACCTACGCAGTGACCGTATACATCAAATCTTATTTGGACAGCATAGTCGACCCAAGCGGATGGATGAAGTGGTCCGACGGGGACGACCCCGCCATGTATAAGGTGTACTATGGTGAATATGCTAATTATGGTCCAGGAAAGGGGACACAGGACACGAGGATAAATTGGCCGGGATTCCACTGGATGGAATACGAGGAAGCAAGAAACTTCAGCGTTTCTCGATTTATCAAGGGTGACGAGTGGTTGCCTTCTACATCTATCCCTTTTGATGACGGTATTTGATGCTTTGGGCTTGATGATCGATTGACTTAATTAACTTCTCTTAAATTTTATGGATTGATGTGTGATCTTTTGTTGTTTTAGCAATTTGTGGAGTACATAGATCTCACTTTAAGTTTAGAAGAAAGAATAGTTTGTTTGCCGTTGTGAGATTGATTTTCATGTAGCTCCATGTTTTTCACCCTTTTGAATGGATATAGAAAAAGAAGGTAATTAAGCTCCCATGTATGTTCTTATTTTGTTGCCAATTAGTTTAAATTTTTTTTGTTAGTTGTTTGAAAATTGGCTGTGAAATGGAAGGAATATATTAAACCAAGGACTGGATGGTAAAATTGAAGGTTTCTTTTTCATCTCTACGTGCTCTAATTAATCTGTAGTTGCCAAGTGCTGTACTCTTGGTTAACGTGAATACGTAATATTTGCCAAACATCAGTATAGGTGTATAATATTTTAGCTAAATTTCATTTGAGTCATTAAATTTTAAAAGGCATCAATAAATATCTCTAATATCCTTTTTGTCATCATATTAGGTCCTTCTTAAACTTTTTTTGTTAGTTCTTGTTGATGATGTTGCGGGAGCTTTTATCTGAAGCAATTTTATTTGTAGAGTGGACTGCTATTGATTTGAAAGTTTTCAAATTTATAAATAACCCACTAAAATTTTACAAAAACCCGTGAAAAAGTTAGAAAAATTCCTCGAAAGCTTCAGAATTATAAATAGCTACTGCATCTTTACAAATAATCCTTAAAAGTTTTAAAAATTGCAAATAACCCTCTAAAACAATTACAAAAAGACCCCCGAAAGGGTTACAAATAATATATGATTGTTTCAAAAATTGTAACCCTAGGATTTTTACAAATAGCGCCCCTGCCCCCAGTGATATTTTACATACAATACATTCAAAGTTTTGAAAATATTTAGTAGGAAAGTTTTAAAATTTTCAAATAAAACTTCCTAAAATTTTACGTACAATGCACTCAAAGTTTTGAAAATTAGAATTAACCAACTTAAATTTTACAAAGCGACCCTTGAAAAATTTACAAGAAGCGTCTAGATAAAATTTTCTAGTAGTCCACTGAAAAATTTTCAGTAGGCTTTAAATAAAAGTTCTGGTTGTTATTTGTTTTTCAAATCTTTTGCGGGGCTATTTGTAAACATTTAGGACTTTTTGAAAATTTGGGTGGTTGTTTGTAACTTTTGTTTTTTGAAAATCTTTTTGGGGTTCATTTATAATTTTTAAAACTTTCAGAGGAAAACCTATCCACTTAGAATCCCAATGAACAAAGAAAACTAAGAATGATAAAGGGCTTTGCTACAGGGACACAAAATATGGGACCAATAGGGGGTACAAGTGAGGTGTTCCCCTCCTATTGCATAATGGGCTGGTTATCATTAATGATGACCAGCTCATTATGCAATAGAAGGGGGACACCTCACATGTCCCTCCTGTTGGCCCCATATTTTGGGTCATTAGGGAATTTTTCAATTATAAAAAGGTCTGCCACGTCATCAATAATTAATTGAAAATTTTTAAAAAGACCTACATTATGAGAGAGAAAATGTTAGGAATATTTATTAATGACTTTAAGTATTTAAGGAGTCAAATAATATTCTAACCACCTCACATCCGAGAAAAAACAAACAAACTTCGTTAATAAGCTGGCCTATATTTATGGAATGCTTAAATTTGGTGATACCATCAATTTAGATAGGCTCTTGCTTGAGAGATTCTATAAGTAATATCGAATCATTAAAAAGGAGTTACACTGTCGATCGAGATTATGATACACTATACAATCATCTCTCAATCACGTGTATTTCCTTCACGTTAGAAGGTCCTCATTTTTTATTGCATTAACTCATTCATTAATTGGTAAGGATAAAAAGCCTAAGAAATTCAAAACTATTATTAAATAAATATGAAGATAGAAGCACTAGGTATACGTAGTTCATGCTGTCTTACTAATTAATTTGTGCTGACAGCTGGTGTCAATTTTTGGGTTCATCTTGTTAAGTTTTTATAGATTGATCGATCCGTCACAATCGTCCTAATAAAAGTTCTGCAACTATTTCCTAAATGACCGTTTGGTTTCGAAAATAATCAAAAATTTCAAGGAAAATCAAGCGATTAAGGTTCGCCCGTCCCGTTCTATTATTTCTATACCTAGAGCTAAAATTCTCAATAATTATTATCATGGTTTGAGGCGTATCATCGAATATTCTAACCACCTCTCATCCGAGAAAAAAACAAACAAACTTCATTAATAAGCTGGCCTATATTTATGGAATGCTTAAATTTGGTGATACCATCAACTTAGATAGGCTCTTGCTTGAGACAATACTTGATTCTATAAGTAATATCGAATCATTAAAAAGGAGTTACACTGTCGATCGAGATTATGATAGAATCATCTCTCAATCACGTGTATTTCCTTCACGTTAGAAGGTCCTCATTTTTTATTGCATTAACTCATTCATTAATTGGTATGGATAAAAAGCCTAAGAAATTCAAAACTATTATTAAATAAATATGAAGATAGAAGCACTAGGTATACGTAGTTCATGCTAATTTGTATTGACAGCTGGTGTCAACTTTTGGGTTCATCTTGTTAAGTTTTTATAGATTGATCGATCCGTCATAATTGTCTCCATAATTTTGTGGATCAACTGTCAACCTAATAAAAGTTCTGCACTCAAATATCTGCGCATTCTATATACGGAGATTAACATAATTAAATGGTTTGGCATGCAGTTTGTCTATTAATGGTATACAGTGAGGAGAGGCCATTTAAGTCATAGCTTGAATATGAAGGGTAATAACAAATTTTCTATCCTCATTCATATATAGATATATTCCTTGATATTTTTTCTCTCTTACTAATACATATGGGTTCCTTGTCAGTTACTCATTACCCCTTTAATCATCGATCACATGCAGCTCAAATTTGCATGCAGTGAATTAACCCATTCATATCACCTTTGCATGTGAACATTGTGGTTAGATGCTTATTATATATTTGATATTTGGGACTTAATTAGCTAGCTTGTTTTTGTGCTTCATGTCGCAATAGTTGTAGTGATATTCAAGAAAAAAAGAGGAAGAAAAAACCCTAAGCCTAGTTAAATCGTTCTCGCACGTTTCTCTCAATTCTCTTCAACATGACGACATCATTTCACTCTGGCTTTCTCATCTTCGTCCTTGCTATCTTCTTTCTTGTCCAGATGACCACCACCAGCTCAACCGCGACGTTGGCATCCATGCATTCGGGGGGTTTGGAGGTAAAATTTTCATTGAATTTAGTAGGTTTGTGGCTTTCGATTTTGTTGTGGATGTATAAAAAAGCTAAATGTTAAAACATAAGCAAGGACACATTTTTTAGCGTAAGGTTCATTTTGTGGATGTATAAAAAAGCTAAATGTTAAAACATAAGCAAGGACACATTTTTTAGCGTAAGGTTCATTTTTCACAATCTAATTAGTTTCTGATATGCCTGTTAAATATATGAATTCAGGCTCTGCGTAAGGTTCATTTTTCACAATCTAATTAGTTTCTGATATGCCTGTTAAATATATGAATTCAGGCTCTGGGTTACTGGACTTTAATTTTAATCTTTTTCTTTATTTTTCATGGGCCGGCCTATATAGCTTCTAGTGTTTATTAATTTTCACTCGAGAACGTCATTGTCTTTGCTATACTTTGACCCGAATGTTCCACGCAGACGTTGATTGTTGCTCAAGATGGGAGCGGGAATTTCACGAAGATTGGGGATGCAATATCGTTCGCTCCAAACAATAGCAATTACCGAACAATCATAAAAGTCAAAGCAGGAATATATTATGAATATTTGGAGATCCCCGAGAACAAACCAAACCTCATGCTGTATGGAGAAGGGAGTAATGTTACAGAAATCAGAGGGAACAGAAGTGTCGGTGATGGCTGCAAAACTTTGTATTCTGCAACTGTTGGTTAGTAACCTTTTCAATTGTGCAGAAAATATATCATAGTCACTAGATATTATAATTTCTGCAGTTTTTCATTAGGATTAACTGTGTTGCCTTTAAAATATATATATATATATATATATATTCCACGTGTAATTCTCAGACAAATTTCTGCAGTTTTTCAATTTATTTTTACATAATTCGTGATTACTTTGAAGCGTTTAAAACTTATTTATTATCTCACATTAAGGTTATAACCCATGTAGTAGCCCAGTTAGTGACACTAAAAACAATGCCAATCCATGTATCAGCCCACAGTAGGCCTGCAAATGCAATGTTTCAAGCCCATGACATAGCCCACTAGACGCTATTAAAAATAATTCCAGCCCTCCAGCTCGCCATGTTATCTAAGCCTTTCAAAATGTTCTAGTATTAATGCGCACTTGATATCAAGATTATGTCTGACCATACCTCCATTAATTCCAGCTGTCTTAGGCCAAGGCTTTATAGCCCGAGACATCTCTTTTATCAACACGGCTGGCGCATCTAAGAACCAGGCCGTGGCACTGCGGGTCGATGCCGATATGGCCGCGTTCTACCGATGTGCGATCGACGGGTACCAAGATACTCTTTACGCACGCCTTGGTCACCAGTTCTACCGTGAGTGTGACATCTCCGGCACCGTCGACTTCATCTTCGGTGACGCAACAGCCGTCTTTCAGATGTGCAACATCTACGTCAAGTTACCGGCATCAGGACAGTCTAATACCATCACAGCACAAGGTCGTAAAGATGAAGACGATATCAGAGGCTTTTCTCTTCAAAACTGTTCCATTCTACCATCATAGGAGCTCGCTGCTAGTAACGTATCAGTCAAGACGTTCTTGGGTCGACCGTGGAAGACCTACGCAGTGACCGTATACATCAAATCATATATGGACAGCATTGTCGACCCAAGCGGATGGATGAAGTGGTCCGACGGGGACGACCCCGCCATGTATAAGGTGTACTATGGTGAATATGCTAATTATGGTCCAGGAAAGGGGACACAGGACACGAG